TCAGTCATCACTGCAAAGCGTCATCGTGTCACATGGGATCAATATAACCTCTGACCTCTCACCTGCCTTTCAGAACATGAGCTCCATGTCTGGTTTCTCATCTCCATATATCCTCTGAGAGCTTTCATGGAGTCTGTATCACAGCCCATCAATCCAGCCTTTCTGAGGCAGTTTTAACCAGCTTTCAGTCGCCTGGTAGGTCCTAGTGAGACGACTTCTGGACCTTAACATCTGCTTGGATGATTCAACTACCAGAACCTTCTCACAGAACCCGAAAAATAACTTTTTAAGTGACTATTCCAAAAGTTGTTTTAATGGATAGTTCTCTTTATTTTTCACAATTTCTTACTTTTATAGCCTGTTCTCCTCAGCCTCCTTAGGATGAATCGCTTTATTTTCCTAAAAATTAAAATAAGTTTAAATGTAAAATTGTTCTATCATCCTGTCTGCTTGTAAAGCCTAAAACCTTTAGAATTTTTTTTTGTTAAACTAAAACACCGCTTTATTAATTCAACATTCTACATTAAGTTTGTCTAAAATGTAATTATTTTTCCTTAAATTCAAATTTAAACACATTGCATTACACCAAATACACAACATAATGTTCTTTTTAGCAACGTCATATGACTCCTTTAAAACCTTTGCTTTAAATATGCCACACTTAAAGCTTTTGGGTTTCATCCTTCTGGTATTTTACTCATGTGAATTTAAATGCTTGCATTGGGACATTATTTATTTCACCTTCTTATGTAAAGGTTACTGTTTTGCATCAGTCTTGTCATTCCATGTGCTTTTAAACTCTAAGCTGTCTGTGGCTCATGAATTTATGGCTTGACCGTAAGGGCTTTGCTTTTATTCTTTAGGTCAATCCTCCTGCAGCATCTCGTTTCAAATTAGTCTACTGACGGATTCTTCTAACCACTACAAACCATTATGGAAGAGTTATGAGAGGGATGCAGACTTTACTACCAGGGCAGAACAACTAATTCATCTGCCTTCAAATTATCTTTCCATCACATTGTCTCTGGCACATTCCTTCTTTGTGTCGCTCTCTTGTGTTGTTCACTCTTGACCTCTCCAAGTGGTCCATCTAGCTCTGTATTTTGGAAAAGAGCTTGCACTTTTTACCACAAATGTTGTTTGTTTCTCAAGAAATGTTCCAACAAGCACGCGTGAGTGATCGTGAGGGTCTTCACTGCAGGGCATGGGCATAGATGAAGGGGCTTTCATTTGAGATGCATTTGTGGCTTTTGATGCATGTCTTGGAAAACAATGCTAGTACTGTGTTATGGCTGCTGAGACGCCATGGAGAAGTTATTATCATATATTGTAATTACTTACAGAATGCCAAACAATCCTTATTCAAATAGTTCTCTGACATTTGATCAATTATTCTCATTATGCATCACATAGAGGTGATGACAGGGAATGAAGCAGTGGTTTTGTACTTGATACTTTTATATTAGTTACTTTTAAATTACCAAAACCTTTTGACTACTAAGTGAAATTGTTTAACCCTTGTGCTGTGCTGAAAATCCTTTACCTAATTTAGTGTTCCTGGTCAAAAGTGACCTGCGTTTTGAAAATGGCTTTTAAATCTCTCATTATGCTGAATTATCACCAAATCTTGGATTTATTATTTTCTTTCAGATGGTCATAGGCCTCGTTGATCTGAGCTTATGCACCTCAGTTTTTGAGTGTAAAATACATAATTTGTAGATAATTTTGCCAGTGTTCATTTAAAAACTGAGGTGCAGAAGTTCAGATAAATCAGGCCTACAATCAATCAGTTCCAAAAAGAAAAAACAAAACCTGTTAACTGAAAAAAAACAAAAAAAAACAAGTTGATATAAAGGTGGAATTGAGTATTTGGTAATAATATGGCTTAATGAGAAACTGATAAGAATTTTTTTGAAGGGGACTGGGACTGGGAACACTTCAGGCTGCCCTATATAATTGGGGTACTAAATGTAATCATATTCATATTGTAATTTAACAATTAATTTGAACTAATAAAGCATTTTTGATCAAACTCTTCTGTGTTCTAATTGTATTACTTTTTTATTATTATTTTATGAATGATAAGAGCCGTAGTTTCAAAGCACACTTTCCACACCAACTCTTACTAACTTGTAATTAATGAAGTTTGTCTTTTGTCGGAGTGGATTTATTGTGGCTACACTGAAAAGCCCTGTTATCCACTCTGTTGCACATCCATGTGGCAGTCGTACGGCTTGCAGACATGATGTGTCCTAGAGGAATGCTCTCCTTGGCTTAGTCCATGGTCTCCCCAGCACGGCCATGTAGGCCTGAGCCTAATGCTTGGCTGATGAGAATGCATCACCCACAGCTCTCACAGAAAGTATTCAGACAGTATGCGTTGTGTGACCCCCAAATCAATCTCCCCTGTCATAAACACAGCTTTGAACATGAGCCGTGTTTTGAAACCCAGACACCACGGTGCCCTCAGGATATGGCGGTAGTTTATGAGTGCATGCGTTTCAAGTAAGAACGATTTCAGGCGTCTGGTTTGTTGTTGTTTTTTTTTTTTCTGTGTGTTGTCATTTCTGTGTCGTCGGAAACTGAGGGGAAATGCATCAGTCATTTTTCTGGAGTGAACTTGGGTTAGAGCTGTTTAACCTTAACCTTTCCTGAAAGCGAGGAGTGTATCCTTTCTCTAGTCCCCTTTTGTTCTCTCTTCTCCTCCATGTTCTTCTTTCTTTTTCAGAGTTTTTTGATAAATGATTCCATGTTGCCATGATGCTTCACAAGCAAATATCTCTCTGACCAGATCTCTAGTTTATAATTTAAATGAGTGGAACATCCTTGTAGGACCTTTTATTCCAATGTAATTTAAGATGACAACATCTCCACATCTGGACTGAACTCCACATCATCTGAGCTTTGATGTGAGTGTGATGTCATATCCACAGTATTTATGGATCTTTTTGTTAGTCTAAAGCAGGTTTTAACCTGAAAATCACTTCTTTTGTTTTCAGCCAGCAGACTCAGTTTGTTGATATATCATTGTAAGGACAGGAAGTAAGCCAAATTCTCCCAGAATATCGGTAAAAATTCCACTGGATAGCTCATGTATGGGGTAATATTGTTGGCTAATGGTTCAGAAACAATCATAGTGTTTTGAGAGGTGGATTTTAGTCTGTGTCACCAGATAGGGGTCTGCATATGTTTCCAGCATGAAACTGTGTGACCTATACAGCTTGACTAATAGCCATAAATAATGTGACAACCGCCATGAAATTGGCAGGAGTGCTATGTAGAATCTAGCTGTCCATTTAGAACTGTTATATTGCAGCAAAAAGAATATATTTATATTTAAAGAAAATGTTAGTAAGAATTACTGAAATTTCATATGCGAGAAATTGATCTGGTGAAAAATCTGGTGAAAGTTTTGAGCATGTTCACTTTGGAATGTGTTTACTATGAGACCCAGGGAGAGTAAGGGAAGATGGGGATGTGTAATCCTGTTGGAGCAATTACATGTTCCCGGAAAAAGGCTTGCAGTCCTGTTGCAGTGCTCCCAAAAGCAGTGTAATGCAGTGTAACCCAAAGGTCGCGGGTTCGATCTCGGTACTGGCAGGGATTGTAGGTGGGGGGAGTGAATGTACAGCGCTCTCTTCCACCTTCAATACCACGACTGAGGTGAGACCCTTGAGCAAGGCACCGAACCCCCAACTGCTCCCCTGGCGCCGCAGCGTTGGCTGCCCACCGTGTGTTCACGGTGTGTGTGTTTGTTCACTACTCACTGCTGTGTGCGTGTGTGCACTTGGATGGGTTAAATGCAGAGCACAAATTCTGAGTGTGCGACACCATACTTGGCAACACGTCACTTTCACTTCACTTCACTTCACTTTTTCATCAAGAATGCATTAAATTGATCAAAAGTGACAGTAAAGGCATTTATAATGTTATAAAATGTTTATTTTTAAATAAATGCTGTTCTTTTGAACTTCCTATTCATTAAAGAATCTAGAAAATATGTATCATGTTTCCACAAAAATATGAAGCTGCACAGCTATTTTCAACATTGATTATAAGAAATGTTTCTTGAGCACCAAATCAGCATATTAGAATGATTTGTAAATAATTACCTGATTATATTTAAGAATATTACTGTTTTACTGTATTTTTGATCAAATAAATAATGGGTTATATATTTTTTTTTTTTCAAAAAACTGACGTCACACTATAAATTTTAATATTTGCTATTTATTGTTTATCAGCCATAACACTGTATTCTAGACATGAATTTCTTGTAAATTAAGTCTGCACTCCAATCCAAAGCCTATGGTGATGGATCAGTTCCCAAGTGTGTTTCAGATCTGCTCATTACAAACTGTTCTTTCTGAGTACCTCTCTCTCTCTCTCTCTCTCTCTCTCTCTCTCTCATTTGATTAAATGCAGCATTCAGCAAGATTTATTTGTCTCATTTTGCACAATGCTACACACTAAAACACAAGCCTGCAACCTAGGGGCAATAGATATGTGTACGCACATAAACATTAGCAAGCACACAGTATACTCTGTAAATTAAGTCATTCAGCACCCACAGGAAACGAGTATGTTAAAGAGGGAACACAATGGTGGGCACTATGGGGGTATGACTGCACCTTTTAAGACCAGCTGACTTGTTATGACCCTCTAATGAAAGGGCTGAACAGGTCTGTTACTCCATACGGTGAACTGATTTCCTAAGTGACTGCTCTCACACAGACTTACCTCAGAGTTGCTAAGACCTCAACAGAGCTAATGATTAATACTGCAAAAATGCATCTAGACAACAGAGCCTTTTGTTTACAGGCGCGGTTTTCATCTGTACCTGCTGAGATATACAAAACAGATGTTTCTGGGATCCATTTTGCAATCTTGGTTAGACCTAGTCCTCCTGGGACTTGCCCACCCTCCTGTCTTTCAGGGAAAAAAAGTTTTGTTAAAAATGTGCTTAATGGGCCTAACATTTTTTTCCTCTTGTTTGACAGAACCAATAGACCTTCTTGATCATCTGTGGCAGGTGGCTAATCGCAGCAATGCATCAGTAACACAGGAAAGCCAAAGATGTCCAGTCCTGCATGTAGGCCAGTACTCCACCCTCTCTATACCACTACGACAGGTGTTTGGACACAGGTACACACACTTATTGTCCGCTGACATTTTTATTTTTTCATTTTATTATGTTTTTCCGTTTAGACACTGCAAACTTGGTTTGTATGTGCATCAATCTTAATGCATGTACATAGACAATATAAAAATGTTGTGTCCTTGCGAGAATAACCTCAAAACCACTTTGTAACTGATGTTATGAAACTTGAATTTATTCATTTATTTTAATTTTATATATAATATTATTTCTTAAAATCAATGTAGGCATGTAATTCTTAGCCTTTCTCTCTCATTTCTTTCTCAGGTTTGGTGATGAGTTCAGTTTGCTGTTGCATCTGCGTAGCTCCCAGTCTGAAGACCGCAGTGTGCTGACCTTCCTCTGCCCAGACGGACACATTCTCCTGCAGATTCGTATTAGTGCCTACACCTTTACCTTCATCAGCACCCAACAACGACACTATGAGTGAGTCTTCAGTTTTCTTTTCTTTTCCTCTATTTTATTTTATTTGTTAAATTATTCTTAAATGGGGATTAACAGGGAACCATCTGAAAACTCAAATTACTTGGTGGTCTTCATTATTTTGTGGTTCATACTTTGGTTCCAAAGCTGTCATCTTGGCAGGAAAAAGATCATTAAAAAGGCACATCTCAGTGAATCCTGTTATGAAACCACAGCCTGTTTAATCCCTCTCTTATTTTCTGTTGCTTGCTTTTGAATGTCATTGACTTTCTTTGTTCCTCTTCCATGATGACAAAACCATCCTCATCGTCTCCTCATTCTTATGAAAGTATTAGTTTTGGCCAAGGGTTCATTTTAAACACAAGCACAAACCCCTCTGTGTTGAGGAGCTCTGTGATATATTAAACCAAGATTTCTGGATTTGGCTTAAGTTTAAGCCAAGCCTTACAGTCGAGATGTGTAAATGAGGCATGGGATTTAACTCATGGCCTCTCAAAACTAATATTTGGACCTGTCACCTAATTACCCACCTGCGGGACAAAATAAATGGAAATTTTACACTCACATTTTACTTGTTTGTGATTCTCATTTATTATGAGATGGCATAACAATGCCATAATGTTCTTGCTGTGTTCTCATATGGGTTTCTGTTTAGTTTAAGCTTGCATATACAAAAAAAATATATATTTAATTTGTCATTACACAGACAGGAAGCATTATGGCTCTGAATTTTTTGCCAGGAAATTTAATGGATTTTGCTTTTCTTGCGTTCTCCCGACTCTCCCTGTTCTCCAATGCTTTAGCATGTGATTTGACCAGCCCACCCTGTCAAGAAAACTAAATAAAGTAGTTTGTTTTTCAAAACCCGTTGTGTCATTCCCAGGTTCCCCGTGGCAGTGCTGTCTGATGGGGGTTGGCACCGCATGGCGGTCAGTGTCTCCTCGGGCCGGTTGGCGTTGTATGTGGATTGCTCCATGGTTGAGAGCGTGGACTGGGCATACAAGGACGGTTTGGGAATCTCCACTGATGGCCTGGTTATGGTTGGTGGAATCATTGAGGGTTTTGAGACACCTTTTGAGGTCAGTATGTGATAATGAGGTCTAAACATGCAAGGTTGTAGTACCCATCACTTACTGTGTGATGAGAAAAGTATATCCTTCATCAACACATACTGTAAATACTGTAAATCTCCAAAACGTTCCCAGTTGGCATTTAAACCCAAAGTCAGGTTTATGGAGGATGAGGGGCTCTCAGTGTATAGGAGTTACTATACCCCAAGCTGAACATCTGCGTTTATACTCATCCAAGATTCCAGATGAATTGGACATTCCGTTGCTGACAAGCGGATAGAGATTTTATATTTTTTATGTGCAACTGTCTGTTACAAACTGCCAGCATGGTTTCTTACATAAATAATATCTGATGCAAAATTGAACAAGAGTATGATTTGTTGGTTTACAAAAATTGCATGGCATAACACAAGGTATTTCCCATAGTGCAGATATCCTAAATCCGACGTTTCCAATCCATTAATGCATTGTTCATACTGACAGACACATTTATTTACAAGACCACCCAATAGTTCACCCAAAAATGTAAATTTCCTGAAAATTTACTCCAAGATCAATCCAAGATGTTTCAATCCAAGAGTTTATTTCTTCAGCAATTTGGAGAAATACAGCATTACATGACTTGTGAATGGGTGCCGTCACCCATTCACTGCAGAGGATCCATTGGTGAGCAAGTGATGTAATGCTAAATTTCTCCAAATCTGTTCCGATGAAGAAGAAAAAAACATCTACATCTTGGATGGCCTAAGGGTAAGTACATTTTCAAAAAATTTTCATTCTTGGGTGAATTTAATTTGTCGCTCCTTCTGTGTACAGAGTAAAGGAGTCACTTCTACAACCCTAAACACTTGATTGTTGACATTTTAACATTTTGGTGTTTTTGCTATAAACAAGAAACATATATGCCGTCTTAGATGCCAGTTTAACCTGTTTGGCATATAAATGATCAACGAAAAATTTGTGGCAGGAAGTGTAAAATGTTTGTAGCTGGGGTGTATACATGGCCATGGATTACATATTATAACAACAGATCCACATCAGGTTGGGGGTAAAAGAGGCATTTTGGAAGATTATTTTGGCCTTGTAAAATGGATGTCAAATTAAATTCCTGTGTTATGCTGAAGGGACAGGCATTTTAATGGAAGTAGGAGTATAGTTTAGACAGCTGTGCACAAGTTAAATGCCCTTTTTTGGTTGTGTTAGACGGGGAAAGTTAATACAGCATGAAGTCTAAGCTGAGTCTCAGAAAATGACATCATAGACTCCAAACATTCCATTTACATACTCACACACTGAACTCAGTCATGTGGTCACATGATCAGGGTTTGCATTTTCCCGACTTCTATAGGCAACACTTCATAATCGTAACAAACATCATTTTATTATAAGTTTAACAGATTGCTGGACTGTCATCTAGACTCCAAGCATTGATTGTTTCATATGTATTTATGTCTAAAATGAACTGCTAATAAAAGCGTGTATGCTTATGTATTTGTGTGTGTGTGTGTGTCTGTAAGCAGGCATGCATGTATGCACTGTGTGGCTGTATGGGTTGTATGTATGTATCTGTATAGGTGTAATAGTTCCATTTGCCTCATTTCTTTAGGGTGATCTGATGCAAGTGGCCTTTCTGATGGGAGAACCAGATGCAGCTCGAGATCAGTGTGCCGTTTTCCAATCCCAGTGTGGCGGAACCGGACACAAACCACCTCGCTCTCCTCGCATACACACTGAAGAGGTAAGCGAGCCATACTGTACAGGGAATGTCATTCAACCTACCCACACTGATGTCTTCTGAGTTGGACTAGTTTCTACCAAGTGGCCGACGAATTCACCATGACTTAAACAACAAAATAAATGGGAAGTGTGTTTATACTATTGTGTGTGTTTATAATATTGTGTATAATTGTGTGTGCTAATATTGTGCACTCTACATTTAATTTCCTATCTCAATATACTGTATTCTTTCAAGAGTTCTACAGTATCTGCATACACCATCTTTTCATCAGTCATCTTTTCCCTTTCCCTGTCCAGGAACTTCTGCTGTCTTCAAATAACCTGGAGGACTTATTAGAGACAGCAGAGGACAGTGTCTATTTTCGTGCAAAACTGACTGTAAGTAGCAATACTATGCTGCTGTGCCATAGTTACTAAGTTACTTGTCATATGAAGTAAAATTCATAGTTCACCCAATAAATGAAAATGCTGTTATTTACTCACCCTCATGCCATTCCAAACCCATATGACCTGTTAAACATACAAGAAGACATATTGCAGAATGTCCATAGTGGTCTTTTTTATATCACAAAAAAAAAAGAAGAAAAGAGGACTCTCACACTTTTAAAAATTACAAAGAAGCACCTTAAAAGTTGTCTGTGTATTCTCTTCATCACTAAAAGCTTTATACAACTTCAGAAGACTGTATATAGCAATAGGAATATAGCAAACAAGTCTTATGGACAACTTTTATGGTATATTTATGTTGCTTTTTGCTAATTTTGGGCGCTATATGAGGGTAAATGATGACAAATTTGTTGGTAAAGTAACTCTTTAAATATTCATTAAATTAACGTTAAATTACCTAGCAAAAGATCAAACATCCTAAAGATACTATTAAAATATTTATATTGGTATTCCCCTAGAGTTTTAAAAACTAATTGGATAAGGAATTGCTCAATCCTGTCTGCTTTGGGCACATCATGTCTTGCTTTCTTGTAACTCAAATAGTATACATACTATATCTCAGCAAGTTTATTTCTATAGTTACCTCCACAGAGTTGTTTTTACTATTTGTCTAATGCTGAAAAGCACTACGTTTTGAGAATCATATTTTGATTGCATGTTTGATGTGGATACAACTGCTTGAAATTGTGGCCTCAAGCATTACATGTGAACTGTCAATTTATATTACCACTCAACATATTTTAAACCTCGTTAGAAGCTGTATTTGTATTTGCACACCTTTCCTGTCAGGCTGATAGTAAATGAATGTCTAATCTGCGGTTTTTATATGTACAAAATCAAAAGAAATTCCTGATGAGAACAAATGACAGTCTTACAGTCTTCCAACATACTGTGAACCTGTGATCATATATCAAACCCAAATGGGCTTTCCAAATCTTTTTTTTTTTTTTACTTTCTTAAGCCAAATAAAGATTGTGTGTGGTGTTGCTGAGCTATAGCAGCCCAGTCAGTCTATGTGTGTTTGGCAGCTGTGAGCTGTTTGGCCAATGGATTCATGGTTTTTGTGGGCTTAGAAACTGCAGATATGAATATCAATGGACTCCATATTCCATTCGATTCAAAACCAAATGGTTAATTCGTGCAGAACGTACCATAGCATGTTTAAAACATCTAGTGCCTCAATCAATCACCTGGACTCCATTATGTTATGTCAAAAAGGTGGTGGATTTCAAAGACTAAAGAGAACCAGATTTTTTTTTTTACATACCTGTTTTATTTCTCCAGTTTCGGTCTCTCTTGTGGCATAACCTCTAGACTAAGATCTTTTGTTGTGGTGTTTCGCTTTGATGCTCCATTTTTGGTTTTCCAGTTTCCTGCACTCATGCTCCCAGTGGAACAGGTTAATAAGAAACGTATGGCTTTCTTTGATCCCTTTAACCCAACAGGAGGTCAGGGGTCAAAGGTAATCACTAATTTAGCTTGTCACTCATTTTCAGTGTCACAGCTTTGAGACCAAAGTCATGAATGTTTAGTTGGATGTGTGTATGTATGCATATTTTTGGGTTAGATGACCAATTGAGAGACTTGACCAACTGAGATATGTATATGTGTGTACCTTGTCCAATATTGCTTGTTAAATGATTGATACCTCAAATCATTATTATTATTATTATTAGGGATTTTTTTGCCAATTTAATTATACAGGCATCATGGCTCAAGATCTGTTGAGACATGGGGTTTTATGTGTTACTTTTATGTTTGCTTGACCCACTGGGTGATGTGTGTGTGATTGTCAGAGTTTATAATGCATTTATGTTTGTGTCTGTCTCTGTTGATTTGTTTTGGGTTGCTCTCCTCAGTCTGCAGGGGCATTATATATGTTTAAAAGTAGTGTTGGTGTGTTTAGAAATAGCCTCGTTCTTACCGTGGGTTTCATTTGGCAGAGGTGGGCACAAGCCTGTAATGGATTTCCTCTGCACTAAAATTAGGTTTGAGTTGGACTGAGAACTCCTCTAGGGAAGTGTCAGAATTACTCAGACAGGCTGTGAAGCATTCAACATCTCCAGACGTGCCTTTGAACTCACTCTCCCTGTGAGTGTAAAGTAAGAAATGTGAGATCTATGTAGGTTCTTTATTTGTTTATGGACAAAAGTGTGGACATGCATGAGACATTTCCAACTATCCTTAAACCAAACACTTTGGAAATGTTGTTTGTACAAGACGTTTACAAAGGCCGAAGAGTAGGTTGAGTGCATTTTGTCCGTTCTATCATCTCGGTTATTTTCTGCCATAAGGTTTATTATTAATGGCTCTTGAGAAGGCAGGGATTTGAACTAAAGGCTAAGTTGTTACATCACACCCAGGTGAGCCATTCGGACACTTTCAGACCTAAAATTGTCATTGTTTTACTGATTTATTGATATTGAAATACAGTACAATGCTGTTCAAAAGTTTAGGGTCAGTAAGATTTTTAAAAAATAGAAATTAATCATTTTTATTGAGCAAGAATGCATTAAAAGTGACAGTAAAGAAATTTGTTAGAAGAGATTTCTATTTCAAATAAACACTTTCTGTTAACCAAAATAAGAAATATTTTTTGAGCATGAAATCAGCATATCTGGCTGCTTGAAAATTCAGCTTTACCATCACAGGAATGACATTTTTGAAATATATTTAAATAGAATACAGTTATTTTAAATTATAATGATATTTCACAATATTACTGTTTTTGATCAAATAAATGCAGCCTTTGTGTGCAAAACAGACATGAAAAACATGAAAAATTTTTTTACTAACCCCCATCTTTTGAACAGTATTGTAGGTTCCTGTTTTTTTTTCCTTCTAAGCCTCTTGCCTCACTTTTTGATGAGCAAAGATGTTTACACATGCATACTGACATACATGCATGGATTGAGGTAAGCTCATAGAACAGTTGCCTTGCATCCTTGTATTAAAAAAAACTACTTAAGATGATGAGCCTATAAACACATCTGTCATCTTAGAAATAATTGAAGCAATGAGTTGTTTTCTCATCTCTTTTCTTTATATAGCTTACAGTGCATGCCATTTCCATGTCTCAAGCTTTAAAAAAAATCCCTCTCAGCAAATTACAACAGCACTGACGCATTGAACTGAGAAGCATCTCTTTCAGACATGTCAGATTCATAATGATCTCATAGTAAGATAATTGGAGTGTGCCAAGGATTCCACTGATGGGTTGAAAAGTAATGTACTTTAATATCCAATAGCGGAAATATATTTATGACTCGATTGTATGATAGTTTTATCAATGGCTGCGTGAGACAAAGTTAGTTTAAATAAATATAATTCTTTTAAAACTTTTTCAGCCTAGAAATGTGAATGCAAATTATATTTAAGTTTTTACAAGCTGAATCATAAGTTTTGGTTAAGACAGCTGCTGAGAATACCATCCATAAAACAATCTGTTTGATCTATTCAGATTGATCTGTTTCCCCGCAGCAGTTGTCAGTTGTTTAGTACAACAAATATAAATGTGTTTGTAATTAAGTTAATATCTATTTATACACGTGCAAAATATTGTGTCCCATTTGGATGTCACAATGACAATAAACAAGAGGAACAACCATGTGATTATGTGACATTCAGCTGTGCAAACTGTTAAGGCATTTTTCCCTTTTTGGTGTGCATGATGGTTTACTGAAAACTCCATAATTATACGTCATTGTGCATGCGTCTATATCACGCCTGCTCTCTTCCTTGACAGCTGCTGAGAATACCATCCATAAAACAATCTGTTTGATCTATTCAGATTGATCTGTTTCCCCGCAGCAGTTGTCAGTTGTTTAGTACAACAAATATAAATGTGTTTGTAATTAAGTTAATATCTATTTATACACGTGCAAAATATTGTGTCCCATTTGGATGTCACAATGACAATAAACAAGAGGAACAACCATGTGATTATGTGACATTCAGCTGTGCAAACTGTTAAGGCATTTTTCCCTTTTTGGTGTGCATGATGGTTTACTGAAAACTCCATAATTATACGTCATTGTGCATGCATCTATATCACGCCTGCTCTCTTCCTTACTGCCTCTCTATCCTCGGTCAGTCACAGACTATTGCTGGTGCCCTCAGCTCCAGCACCACTGACTGTAATTATGTGTTCTGAGACAGTAATTTAGTGCCGTCCACCCCCAAACCCACAATAAATCACATGCAGTGAATGCAAAGTGACTTTACCATGCATAAATATTACTCTTTCCCATTATGGATGGATGGATGGATGGACGGATGTATCTAGGTAGATGTAGCTAGATAGATATAGATAAATAGAAGTAGATAGATATAGATAGGTAGCTATTTAAGAATACGACAGACAGACAGACAGACAGACAGATAGACAGATAGACAGATAGATAGATAGATAGATAGACTTGTCAACTCTCATCAGGCTCCTACAAATCCAGAACTGACTGGAAATTTCTGGAAGCAATTATCTGTTACTGGGGAAGGACTCTTGTGACAAATCTCCATGGATTGTCTCCATAAGGACTTTCCACAGTGCTTTCTGTGTTATGAGTTGAGGGTGTGGATGGCCCCCTCTTTGATTTAGGATCTTCTCTTTGATTCTGAATACTGCAAGTGTTTTTTTTCCTCTCCACTTGCACATAATTCACATCAGCAGGATCTCAGAAAGCTGTCAAGAAAGCTGTTACTGGTGAATTCTGTCAGATGTTGCCAAAAATGTGTCTGCATGTGGACAGTGTTTGAATTTCCCATCGGTCCATTTGTCCTTATTAGCAGAGCGTTATTGTATAAACCACATTGTTTCTATAAATGAATTCTGTTCCACCTAGGCATCCATGTAAGTACTTGTATCTGGACACTACCAGCTCACAAAGACAAGAGCACAGGCTTACACATACACCCGCTCAGTTCACCCCGAAGCCACATAGTCAAACAGGTGTCTCATTGTGTGAAGTAGATGAAATGTGTGTGTGCGCATGTAATCTCTTTGTATGTGGGTGGATTGAGAGTTTGGGGGTGTGCTAGTGTGTTTGGCAAGTATTTGACTAGTCTTAACTGTGAGTTTGACTGAATTTTTGTTGCAGGTGTTGTATGTGTGAGTGAATGTGAGTGTGTGTGTATGTGTGTGTGTGTCACCATGAGGATCTGGATGTGTTTGCTAGGATGGTTTCTGTTGGATTTAATGAAATTTGGAGTGCAAGGTCAGAAGAATCACATTCCAAAGGTATGGCTTCATCTGGCAACCCTTCCGAAATGTGTTTGTTTGGGAAAATTATTCTTACAAATCATGCATCCACTTCCCCTATCTAATAATGACACGTGGGTTTGGTGGTGCACGCTAATCCAATAGTTTATGAAACTCCACTTTGATTAGATTTTTTTTTATGGATTGTAGTATCTGTATAAATATTTGTGTTGAAAAATAAGTCATGTGCGTGTAATCAAGTGTTATTCCATCTCTCTTGAAGGCTGACTGGTTTGGCTGCAGATGTGAGAGGTTACAGTGGCTTCGGTTTATATGAGGGAAATAGTTTTCACTATTCTGGTTCGACCCAGATTACCACAAACGCTGGGTTCATGTCCAGTGTCAGGGTGCAGTTTTTTTACTATATTTGACATTTATTGGTTGTGCAGTATTTTATAATTTTGTAGCTGATTTTTTGCACTTCTCTCAGTTTTCTTTTTGTGATGCTTATTTTAGTACTCTGTATGATAACCACTGTTCTTTATAGGATTTTTAAAAATATTATTATAATGCACAGAGCTAAATTGAATTCCCAGCCTGACATTGTATTTAAAAACCCTCGGTGGCAGAAAAACAACTGTGGCAACAGTTTTATGACAAGACCAAAATAACATAATGGATGAGACTGAGAATTAATTCAGTTATTTCTGCAGATGTGATTGGTGTTTTCTTACTTAATTTAGTTTTTTGCGCCTCTTTATTAAATTTGTTTAGTTAAAATGTGTTAATCTAGGACATCGCTCTATGAAAAACATTTTACGGGAAGCTGTATTTAAATCAGTTTAAGTGCAAGATACGGCTAGTTTGTCGTTGCCCATATAAATACCTGTGTCTCTGTGATAGATTTACAGATAGTCGCTGTCTTTCAAGTCAAATCAGCTTTTTTCATACCGACTTATGTGTGTGCGTAATTGTGTGTATGTACTCGACCACTTTTTTTTAGGCTTTCCACTTGCATACAGTATTTACAGACAAAGACAGTAGATGCAAATTTGTACCTTTCAGAAATTAGGTTTTTTTTTTTTTGCTCAAGTTTACGTTTTAGTACTGGTGGTGGTTAGCTGGCATGTAGACGCATGTGTAAATAATGTATCTGAAGCCTAAAGGCATAACACTTTTGTTTTTTTAGGAAACCTTTACCTCTCCCATAGATCTGTCATCTGGCCCTTTTCACTGTTCTGTCTAAACTGTGTTCAGTCTTTTCTGTAACAGACCTTAAATAACAGCAAGATTGTACATCATGTGCACATCACAGCGACAAATCTGGGAACATTAATTTTTGAAGTGATCATTGATCTGAATTATACATAATAGTCAAACTGATATTTATAGATTGCCTAATCTTGTCGCAAAAAAGCAAAAGAAAGATTTTTTTTCTTTGCTTTTGATCAGGTTCAGCCTTTTTTCCAAAATTACAAAACAACAAACAAAAGCATCTGGTCACTAATTAAGGACAAAACCCTGCAGCAGTGATGTTACAGATATTTTCATGTTGGTCCTTGTAACAGGAAGCCCCCTGGTGGCCAAATGGTGTTATAGATAGAGCCGGGGTGGAAGCTGCTCTTTGCTGGGTGACTGCGCACTTAATGTGAGTCCGTGTGTTCAGACCCTCTTTGGCAGGCTATTAGACGGATATCAGACCAACAGCAGGAAGATAAGCTGGACGACAGCCCTTCGTTGCCAGGTGGAGATCAAGTGTCGGTTTATCAGGCCATGGCTACAGAAAGAGCCATTGTTAGTGATAGTATTAGGGCAAGGCGGTCTGATTTTACCCAGGTTTTCTTCGTATAAAGGTTTTTCCATCTGATTTTTTCAGGCTGTGGTCTGATGTCATAACATTATATTACAGTATATTATGATATTATAATAATGTATATTTATACACACCACACATACACATACACACATTTGTTTATTTATATTTAAAAATGTATTTATTTTTTCCTGAAAGTCCTGAAATGGACCAACCTGGCAACCCAAAGCAGTATAGTAATAATTGTGCAAAATAGCTTAATGTATAACTTTCCATGACTCTAAAGTCTCTTATTTTTAGTTTATCTACTTGTAAACCTTGCAGATGCCATCAAGAGAACTGAAGCACTCGTATTGTCCTACAGAAGTCACATTACTGAAACACCTAGCTTAGACTTCATGCAAATAGAGCAACTAGACAGAATCACATCAGATTTTAAAAAGAGACACATGTTTCAGTTTTGTATGATGTCATTTTGATATGCAGCAACAATCCTCTGCCTTTGACACTATGATGTGGATGTTTTATCACAGAGAAAAGGCTGTTTTTCATTTCCCTTCTCATCATTTAGAACCAAGCCAGATAATATGGAATCCAGACCACTATTCTTTGTCATTTTCTTTTACTCTTTTTATTATTTTTTGTCTCTTTCTTTAGAATTCATTCTTTGTGTGTGTGTGTGTGTGTGTGTGTGCGTGACATTGGTTTGCATATTATTAGCATGAGTGTTTTGTGTCACTGTCACTGTTTTGACTCTTAATAATTGTGCAAAATAGCTTAATGTATAACTTTCCATGACTCTAAAGTCTCTTATTTTTAGTTTATCTACTTGTAAACCTTGCAGATGCCATCAAGAGAACTGAAGCACTCGTATTGTCCTACAGAAGTCACATTACTGAAACACCTAGCTTAGACTTCATGCAAATAGAGCAACTAGACAGAATCACATCAGATTTTAAAAAGAGACACATGTTTCAGTTTTGTATGATGTCATTTTGATATGCAGCAACAATCCTCTGCCTTTGACACTATGATGTGGATGTTTTATCACAGAGAAAAGGCTGTTTTTCATTTCCCTTCTCATCATTTAGAACCAAGCCAGATAATATGGAATCCAGACCACTATTCTTTGTCATTTTCTTTTACTCTTTTTATTATTTTTTGTCTCTTTCTTTAGAATTCATTCTTTGTGTGTGTGTGTGTGTGTGTGTGCGTGACATTGGTTTGCATATTATTAGCATGAGTGTTTTGTGTCACTGTCACTGTTTTGACTCTTTAACTTTAGCTTTGTTTGGAGTGGTACAAATGTGTGAGCCATGCATGTAACTCATGCACATCTGATCTTTACATGATGTCAGATCTCAGTAGATCATTGCTGATTGCTACAAGATGCTTAATAGTTTAAATTATTGTTGTTTATCTGCCTGGAATTATTGCACTCTTGTATTTACCTTAACATCTGTTAGCAGCAGCAACTTCACAACCATATGTAAAAATGGAGATTACAGCTTTAATCAAGTCGCATAAACATTCTCACGGTAAATTAGACATTATGATGAAGTGATTACATCTTCATTAAACATATTATAGTGAACATAAAGCTCCCAGATGTAAAAGAAAAATAACAAACAGAATTGAATAATAGCTTACACTCAATTTTTGGTACACATTAAATTATTTATTTTTGTTAATAGGGTCTCCATAGATGTGGGATTATACGTGGAGACGGTACTCTGCCTACTGGATCCAAACGTCCTGGCCTTGTGGGGCGAGGTAATGTGTTTGAGGTGGATGAGGATACAGACCTGGTAGACCAAAGCATCTTATCCAAAAATGGTGGTAAACCTTCCAAAACATTCCCAACTGACACAACAAGCAGCCGTGACGGAAAACCAGAATCTAAATGTCTAGATGAAAACATCACCACTGACAAGCACAAACCTGGCAAACCTTCACCAAAGAAACCAGTGGATACCATAATTATCAACCTGGATGTTCAGATACCCGAGAAACCTACCGGAAGTATTGTACCTAGTAGCGAAATTCAACTGGAAACCACCTCCAGTCCTGAGGATCGAGAATCCAACTTGTTAAAAGAGGATTTGGGGTTCACCACACAGGCTCCTGTGAGAAAAACTTCTTGGGAGGGCATCTCAAAAGGAAGTGGAAGAAAAACATTCAAAACTCCAGATATCCCTGTAGGACCTGGCTGGGGATCTGAGGAGCACCCAGGTACCGTTATATTTACAGAAAGGCATGGAGATCTTGTGCGTGGCTCTGATGGGAATATGTATCGCATTCAAAGAGGACCCATGGGGCCAGTGGGGCCCCAAGGTGAGCCTGTGAGTATGATTTAAGTATATATCAGTGTTGTTATTGTTAATTATTAACTAAAACTAAATCTAATAAAAAGATCATTTCTGGTAATTGCAATAAAACTGAAATGAAATACAAATATTATATAAACTTCAAAAAATGAAAATTCTAAATGCTGCCTTGGCAACTAACTTAAATAAGCTGAATGCTAAAATTGCTAACACCAAACCTGAAAAAAAAATAATAATTAAAGCTAAATAGAAAAAAAGACAAAAAGGGCATTACAAAATAACTAAAACAATCTAAAAGTAAAATCTAATTTTAAATGTTAATGAATACTATAGTAGTAAATAATTATACAAAATAACACTAGTATATATATTGCAATAAGTTTTGGTCTCATGTCACATCCTGTTAACACAAAATTATTACTTGAAACCAGTCTGCTCAGAAAAAAAGGACACAATGGCTGAAATGAATTGTTGTAGCAGATACATCACACATATGCAGACATGTGCAGATTCTTACACAATAAATAGAATAGGAAACTTCTGCCACAATCTGCAAAAATCAGTCTGATGCAGAAAGCACAAGAGGAAAAAATTAAAGAAGGGAATTTTCAGTCCTTTGATGTTGTATATGTATATTTCAGCATTTTTTAAGCTGCACAGCATACTGCATATGTCAACATGTCTCACTTCCCGCCTTGGCATGATTCATATGGCTCTCTATAATTGGCTGTTGGAGGAACGACCCATCTGCCTCACCCAATCAAAATGCAACATTCACCTGACTTTACAAGTGATCAGGTCTAACAGAAGTAAACCCAGATGTTGTGCCATCTGGAGGCTTCTGGCTGAGCTCCAGTGGCCCAGGCACTGTAAAAGGCCTCCATTAGATAATGAAGGGTTGATTTACCAGTTGGCTGAAAACATTAAGGAGATACTGCTCTGTCTGAAAGCAAAATGCAGTAGAGATGCAGTTATTAATGCCCCCTTTTTTCACATCTCTGTTACTACCATACCCTGCATTTCTGTCTTGGTGGGGGTCAAGCATTTAGTCATATGTTGAATAAGGAACTGACTTTATCATTCCAGGTAGTTAAAGCATTTTCTGTTTAAAACTAAGCATTTATATGTGTTTATATACCACTTAAGTCTAAAATATTGTACTGTGGTGCAGTGTTGTTATTGTTACCTAAAACATTTTTTGAAGCTAGAGCAATTGTTTGGCTCAGATGACAAAAAGCTTGTCACAAACTGTTCAGTGCCATTTAGTGATGAATATTTTTACTCTGTGTAAATGGTTTTGTTGCAAAAAAACGTGCAAACCAGGTGTCATCCTGCTTTTAGAATAGTTTTGTGATGGTTAAAAGGTTATGTTTAGGTTTAACAATGTGCTTGTATTACCGTAGTCAGAGTGCCACTAAAGTTAATGTTTTTTACACCTTATTGCTTATTTTTACATCTTTTTTACGTGCTATAAACCTTTAGTTTTAACTCTGTTAAACAAGCTCACTTTCTGTTAAAAATGAAAGCTGTATGTTTTATTTTGGTCACGCTCTGTGACTTTGTATGTTTAAGGTTTTTATTATGCCTTTTACTATGCCTTACTCCTTCTAGGGATGTCCTGGGAGTGATGGCTATCCAGGACCCAAAGGTGATAAGGTATGATAATAATCAGAATGTTTTTTAATGAGAAATGGACTAGAGCACTCAATGTGAATCTCTCAGAGTGTCTGCACTGTCATGGTGAATGAAGGCAAGCCGAGGTCAAAGTGCTTCACTACCACAAGTTTGTGGAAAGTTCACACGCCTGTGGTCATGACCAGCTGACCCCTTGTGTCCTTCTATGACCTTTGTCACTTCAGTAGACTGTTCTTATATGTTCAGTCTCCAAACAGAAGTCCAAATGCCAACAGGGAAGCTTGCAAAGACATGCTGTCAGTCTGACTTCCTATACTGTGCTCTTCAGGATTCTTCAGCCTCTTTTTCTACTTCTGTCATTTATTGATTTTCCTATTGACTTACATACTAAAGTTTAAAATCAACAATCACCAAAGTTTTCATCAGTTCAGCATTGGAAATTGAACCAATAGTGGTGACATCATTGTAATATTTGCAAACTTAATTGGGATTGGTCTTCTTTCTTGCATTTATTTACTAGTCTTTCTCACATCTCTATATAGAGCCTTTTTACACTATAAACATAGTAGATGTGCCAAGTGTCATGGCAAAGAGGTTCTGATGCACAATTTTAAAAAGAAGTCTCTTATTTGTTATTTATTTGTCTTCTTTATTAGTCTCTTATTTATTGAAAGAAATCTCTTAATTTCATCAAGTCAGCATTTATTTGATCCTTCAGAAATCATTCTAAAAGTCTGATTTGATGCTCAATAAACTTATTATCGATGTTGAAAATAGTTTTCACAAAAATATTAACTGTGATACCTGTAAAAAAAAAAGTCAGGATTATTTGATGAATAGAGAGCTCAAAACAACAGGAAATAGAAATCTTTTGTAACATTACAAATGTCTTGATCATTTTATTGCATCCTGCTCACCCACAACTTTTGAATGGCGTTGTGTTGTAGCAGTTGATATTTACATCTTGAAACAAACATTTATTTATAACTTTAGTGGTGAAAGTCATGATAATTTATATAATATTTATCAGTTATCTGGTGGTGTCTAAACTGAACAGATCTATTATGTACAGTGCTGTTTTACAACATGCCTGTTTATACAGTGCAGATGTGTGATGGAATTTTGTTTTTCATCCTAACAGTTCAGCTTTCATCAGGTTTGAGATTTGTTTAAGATTGTAAGCATATGTCAGTGTAAATCTTTTTGTGTGTGTGTGATGCAGTCTTCCTTGTTGTTGTGATTTTGTTTAGGGTTCCATTGGGCTTAAGGGCCGTCCAGGTCGCCGTGGAGTCCCAGGACCTCCTGGGCCACCTGGGCTGCCCACATTCTACCTGTGGAGAAACACACCTGAGGAATGGGCTGCATTTCAGGTAAGTTTTCTCTTTTTTTCAGTTTCTCCATTCTCCATGCTCCATCCCTGTCTGTGGTCTCCCTGTCTACAAAATTAAACTTTATCCCTCATCCCTTTAATGTGGCTGTCAGTGCACTGCTGTATCTTGTGTAATGGCCCAGATGAGCACCACAGCCATGATTGAATAAAGATGCCCTCAGAGAAAAAGAGAGAGAGAAGAAGGAAGGAATTCTCTGTTGCTGTAATGCGGTATTTGTTTCCTACAGTCTTTGAACCATCCCGCACTGTACATCCAGTAATCCAGCTGAGGGCAACGACTTTTCTACTCTTAGTTCTGCATAATGTCATAAGTTGTTCCTGTAACTGAAGGGGTGATATCCCCTTTACTCAAACCCAGAACAAGGTCACCTCAGCACAATCAATCAATCTCACCATCCATGTCAGTTTCCAGCTCCGTATCTCTGAACACATCTGCTCTGATAACCGAAACCTGTGTCGAGCATGGTTTAATTAAAAGCAGCCTGTGACCTCGTAACTCATTTTGGGATATGTGTCCTGTGTGCAGCATGCTGCCTTTGTGAACGCCTTTGTAGTTTACAGGGCAGCTTTTAAGTCTAGAGTCTGGTTGGATGAGAATGGATCATTAAAGCTTTAGTAAGACCAGAATTGTAGGGTTATGGCTTTTGCCTTCATTAAAATGACTCCTCAGAGTAACAGAGAGAAAAGCTTCAAGAATAGACCAGGAATGACCGAAACACATATTTTGAATATAGACTAATTGGTGGGTAGTCTGAATGACTAACCAATGAATCAGCACAAGGAAGCTCAGTATAATTAGGCCAATTTTGAGTTCTCCTGACCCCGATCAGTAGGGCTGCATAATATTTTGAAACAAAATCATTATAAAGTCATGATATTTCATAATGCAATAGTCGAATCTTGAAGGGTGTTATTAAATAAATAAGTAAATATAAATAAATAAATATTCTGGTGAGCTATAAAAATAAAATATTTTTAAATTTTTTAAATGTAAGATGTAATTAGTATAGTAAAATAAAAGTAGTGCTATTGTTCATTGTTTTATAGTCATATTGAATGGGTCAAAAACAATGGGAATGTGGCCTATAAAAACTTGAGTGGAAAAAGATTTTCTTAAAACTCTGTTCACGTTATGGTTAGTAAAAGAGGTTTGAGTTGGTTCTTGCCCAAATATGAACAATCAGCATTTCAAACGCAGCATTTATGGCATATAAGAAACTAAAAAATATCTGTCATCATACATATGGCTGTATCTATGAAAGTCGCGACTTCTCAAAAGAGATGTTATCTGATTGTTTGACAACAAGTTGACCCATCCTTATGACAAATAGAGCAGTTTTGTAGGTTTAACTTGATAAAGCATCAGATAAAGCTTTAATATCAGCTGTGATGCTAATAATGTGATAAACATGGATAGTCATGTGATGCTCAGTTAAATAATTCTATTTTTCTCTCACTCTCTCCTCCAGCAAACTTCGTTCTTCCAGCTTCTCCGTGCAGGTTGGCCTGTAAGTATGCAACACATATTTGTGAAATTTGTTATGTTTCTGAAGATGTAATATCCCTGACTCTGTTCTGTTTTTCGTGAGCTTGTAGAGAGCGCAAGGTCCGCCTGGTCTGGAAGGAGAGATGGGGAAACCTGGGCCGCAGGTGAGGTTTAATAAGATTTTGATGAGGCTCAGCAACACCTGTGTTATGTAGCGCAGTACTTCCTGAGCTCAGATGACAACACCTGCTCTGCTAAATCATGATCTCTCTCACTCTCTCTCTCTCTTAACCTTCTTTACTAGGGGCCACCTGGGGAGCCAGGTGAACAAGGATGTCCAGGACGTATGGGAGACATGGTAATATCCTATGGTGCAACGTTGTCATTTTTAGTAATGCTTACTAAGGCAAGCTTCGTTTTTATTAGTGGTACTTGCTAAGGTATCACTATTGCTCTTGTAGTACTATTAACCTACTAATTGTGCACCAAAATGTTGTTGTCTTTAATTATAATGTTATCGTATTCGTAATAAGAAAATCTGACAGTCTGTCAAGACAGCTGCAAATAATGTAATTCATAAATAGACCAATATTTGCTTTTTTTATCAGAGCAAGACATCAAGATATCACCTCAAATTAGTGGCAATTAATTTGCTTGGGGGTTTTTTATGTGTGTGAAAGGGAGACAGTTATTAGACACACAATACCACCCATCATTGCTGAGATTTAACCACAGATTATTGCAGTTTGTCAGATTTAATGTAAAAGGTACATCACATTTGTGGCTCTCAAAAGCCTCGCATCAATCACTGCTGAAATGAGCTTCTGTTAGCATTTAATGTAACACTATGTGAAGGAGCAGGTAGATAGATAGATAGATAGATAGATAGATAGATAGATATTTGGGACATCGTAAAGTTACTGATAAATGACCTCTACATAACCTACAGTATATGTCATTATAGGGACCCCAGGGATTAGAGGGACAGATTGGGCCTCCAGGACCAAGGGGCCTGAAGGTGAATGTTTGTTCTACTATAATGAATCTAACTGATTGAATAAAGAGATGGTAGTCAGGGATCATTTGAGGTTATGTTATTTCACATAGATATCCGCATACTAATATATGTATACTAACTAGCCCATGACAGACTCTGTCAAACAATTACTTGATCATGATCCATATTATTGTATTCATATGCTTTTCCACTAGGGACTGTCAGGTCGGGAAGGTTTACCTGGTCCCAAAGGAGAACCTGTAAGCACTCTTTTCTCACAGAGTGAAGAATCTATCTTTAAATTGCTTTGATCTTCTTACTCATTAAAGATTAAGACTTCATGCTGTTCAGTATCACAAGATATTTAATATGAACACATACTCTAGTGTTCAAAAGTTTGTGGTCAGTAAGATTTTTTAAATGTTTTTTAAATAAGTCTCTTATGCCCAAAGCTGCATATGTTTGATCAAAAATAAAGTAAAAAAAAAAAAAACAGTAATATTGTGAAATATTATTACAATTACTACTGTTTTCTATTTTCTATTTAATTAATTTCTGATGTCAAAGTTTAATTTTTAGTATCCATTTCTCCAGCATTCAACTGAAAACAGTTGTGCTGTTTAATATTTTTGTGGAAACAATTATACATTATCTATTTCCAGATTCTTTGATGTATAATATGTTTTTTAAAGCATTTATTTAAGGAAAAACTTACATTATAACAACATTATGTAACATTATAATTGTTTTACTCTTTTGATCAATTTAATGCATCCTTGCTGAATAAAATTATTAATTTAAAAAAAAACTTACTGACCCCAAACTTTTAAATGATAATGTACCTTCTTATCCCTGTTCATTTACAGGGACCTGCAGGGCCAGTGGGCCTCAGAGGGGAGCCAGGATTTGATGGATTAATGGTAACAGCCAAATTCAGTCTAAAGAGTTTTTTTTCCTAATGAGAAAGCTCAACTGTAGTTCATACCACATAGCAAAAAACAAATCCCAAGGTTTTTTTTTTTTTTGTAACTTCAACTTGAAATTTCAAATTTAACCAATGTAATTTCCTATTTCTCATATGTACTGGTTAATTAGTTTGTTTTTTCTTCATTTTTCTTTAGGGTGTATTAGGAACACAAGGTCCAAAAGGTTTTACTGGTATCAAAGTAAGCTCATGCCATCTCTATTTTTTACCTGTCTTGACTATAGAGTTTTCATATCTAATGGCTTTACTGTCTTTCAAGGGTAACAGAGGACCTGATGGAGACCAGGGAGACATTGGACCTAAAGGAAACAAAGTAAACATACAATTATGAATTAGTTTAGAGTATATATAGTGTCTACATTTTAGCTCAAGTTGATATAATAGGTTACTATCCTCATGATAACAGATGTCACTTGTTGAAAATTGTATTTTCCTCCCAGGGTGTTAGAGGAGCCCCAGGGGTACAGGGCATTCAAGGTGAGCAGGGACCAACAGGCTTTCCTGGTTTCCCAGGCATCAGAGGCCTGCCAGGACCACAGGGGATCCAGGTATGAGTTACATTAATATTGCTTCACTAATATACTAAAATAGACTTTTTTTTTGCTTGTCTGTACACCATTAGTCCTAAAAGTCATAACTCAATATCCTCACACAGGGAGAGGATGGAGAAGCTGGTCCGCATGGCAAAGTGGGAAAGGAGGGGCCAAAGGTCAGAGTTGTCCTGAATTACATGCATTAAGATTTTTAGTGTCTCAAATTGAGTGTAATATTCTCCAATGTGAATTGTCCATCTTGATTTTACTGAAGGGGAGCAAAGGTCCCGAAGGCCTCTCTGGAAAGTCTGGTCCTAAAGGCCTAAAGGTAATACACTTCATGGTATATTGTCATATAATATGGTTCTAAGCTTTAAGGTATTATAAACAGATCTTTTCAACTAGTTGTGCTGTGTGATATTGATTTTAATAAAGTCTCAATACATATCTAATTTTCAGGGTCGAACAGGGCAGAGGGGTCACACTGGCATGCCTGGACTTCCTGTAAGTGTTCAGACACAAAAGCTGGGACTAATGTCAATCTTTGTGTAGAATGCTGATGATGTCAGTGTTGATGGTGTTTATTGCAGGGTTTACCTGGCCCATTTGGACCTGTTGGAGCTGAAGGAAAGCCTGGTACACAGGTTCCCATTCTATATTCTAATACCATGAACCATGTAGAAAAAATACCATGTAAAAAAGATGTCACTGATGCATTTCTACATCAATTAAATAGAAACATGTAATAATAAGATAGAAGGCTATTGTGCAAAAACATTATAATATTATGGTTTCTAATTCTAGATTTAAATGAAAGTTTAAATTGATTCTCATTGTTCTTTCTTGTGCTCCAGGGACTGCAAGGCCTTGTGGGTAATGCAGGAAGTCAAGGACTAATGGTGGGTTCAGCTCTCTTAACGGAATAGCCCACCTTCCAATTGTTTAAAAGTCTATATTGTTTTTATAAAGTCATTAATGTAGTATTTAGCTACTAGGCTGAAACAAGGCTAGGCTGTTTATTTAGCCATCACTGCTAAGCTTTCTCAAGCACCTCTAACAGACATTATTTAGCATTAATGAGCCGTTTTTGGCAGTGAAAGGAGCTCTATAATGCAGGATTCATGAATCCAGCAGACTGAGCTCCCGGTGCAGAGCAAATAAAAAACGATGATCACATTTTATAGAGGATGGGCTATGCCTTTTATGAATCATAAAGAGGTTATACAAACAAAGACAGCCTTTCCAAGAATTTAGTGGGCACCAGTGTTTTTGTGCAGCTTGTCAAAGTTTAATTTGCACCCTACCAGCCATAAATGAGTCTAGTAAAATGCAGTAGGTGAGAAGAGTAATGGTAAGTGGTGGCAGCAGAAAACACTGGTTCACACATGAACACACAGGCTTGTAAGGTCTTGGTTGGTTTCTCAAACCTCAGGGATTGCAAGGGATTCCTGGAGAACGTGGTCAGGACGGACCCCCTGGATCTATGGTGAGTTTTCTTCTCTATTCATGTGTTCAACAGACATCTTTATAATCACTTCAAAGTTTATTTCCCCTGCTTGCAAGGTAGACACCCTCCTGACCCCGTGCTGAAATTACTTATTGGACTTGCCAGTTTTATTACCTACAGTACCTACATTTAGAAAACAAAAATAAATTGAATCCATATTACATTATTTTTCATCATATTGAATTTGTTGCACTGTGCATCCAAATCAGGGCATATGCTGTTAAATTTTCATAATTTATTCATAATTTATTCATTGAAAAGCGCATCAGCTTTTCAATATCCGGCTGAAAAATGATTGTTCTTGAGTTGAGGGTGTTGAAGTTGTGTGTACGTCTTCTCTATTTTTTATTTTATTAATTTATTTTATTTTTAGCATTTCTGTGTGCGTAAAGCAGATGATTACACTCACATACATTCTACTCTTCTTCTCTCACACAACAATGGAGCTCATACAAATTGAGATCAAAGCCTATTTAGATCTTTAAATCAGTCATTGTTCGGTTTAACTTGTCTTATAAGTATGCTTTGAAGTCTGTCTACTGTTGTGTCTACACAACTACTGTTGTGTCTGAGCCGATTAACTCAACTCTTGACCCCATGCTATGGTATGCAGTCATACAAGGTTCAACAAAGGGGTATCGAGTGGTATCAAGATTCAATTTTATGACATGGTAGTATGTTCCATTGTTGCTGTTATTAATCTTAATGTATATCAAAAGTAGATTTTGTGCTTTTGTAAAGTGTTAGTAAATCAGCATTAAATTAATACTTTTATTCAGTAAGGACTCATTAAATTGATCAAAAGTGACAGTAAGGATTTTTTTACTGTATTTTTTTATCAAATAAACACAGCCTTTATCTCATATTAGCATTTAGTTGTATTCAGGTGATTCACTTTGCCTATTCAATTAGCTTTTTATGAACAGAGAGGTTATTGAAAAATGTAATTAGACTAATACCACTTCAGCAACTTAACCATAAAAAAACACAGCATAGTGATCTGTTTGTGAATTGTTAAATCTCTACTAATGATTTCGTTTCGACTGACAGGGTCCACCTGGACGAGAGGGGCCTATGGGCAGTCCAGGACCACCAGGAGAGAGGGTATGTTTATGATTTTTTGTTGTTGTTGTTTGCTCTCATATACTGTAGTTCATGGAATCGAGCTGCTGATTTTCAGGATGTTTTGGCATGTGTGGTTATTTCTCTCAGGGTTTCCCTGGAAAGACAGGAGCAGTGGGACCGCAGGGCCCTGTTGGCATGTATGTAAGTGACCCCTCTACAGGGCTTTTATAGAGAGAGAGGGAGCGGGATGAGGATAATAATGTTTAAGGTTGATGTTTTGACATAGCCAGCTCACTCTGTCGTATTCTCTTAAGGGGCTTCCAGGAAACGTGGGTATGAGAGGAAGACTGGGCCACACTGGAAACAGAGTAAAGACAATTTACACTTTAACCATCCCACATTAACCAGCGATATGTCATTATATTATGCTGTTGTACATTGCAGTTATAATGTTGAAGCTCACCTACGGATAAAGGCTCCATTCTTATGGTTTGTGTGCTGCCTCGCAGTCTGCATAGGCCACTGACTTTTAAGGCAACATCCTAACCAAAATGGAACCTCATACTGTAAATGACTGCATTCAGGAATTCCCTTATCCATTGCAAGGTTGGAACAACCTTCCTATTAGGTTGATGACTAAAAAACTAGACAGCTCACTTGGGTTTAGAGCATAGCCACACTGTTTTTAGCCTTTACAATAGTAACTTTAGGTAAAGGAGGACATTTGTTTTCTTATAGGGAGAGCCAGGTCTAAGAATGAAGCTCACCTACGGATAAAGGCTCCATTCTTATGGTTTGTGTGCTGCCTCGCAGTCTGCATAGGCCACTGACTTTTAAGGCAACATCCTAACCAAAATGGAACCTCATACTGTAAATGACTGCATTCAGGAATTCCCTTATCCATTGCAAGGTTGGAACAACCTTCCTATTAGGTTGATGACTAAAAAACTAGACAGCTCACTTGGGTTTAGAGCATAGCCATACTGTTTTTAGCCTTTACAATAGTAACTTTAGGTAAAGGAGGACATTTGTTTTCTTATAGGGAGAGCCAGGTCTAAGAGGGCCTCCTGGACCAACTGGGAAGTCTGGACCACCAGTAAGTGTGGGATCAAGTACAAACACTAGGATCTAAAACAAGCCAATCGTTTTTATTTTAAATTTTGGGAATCTTTATTTCTTCAATTCTATGGATAAATATAGTTCGGTTTACACTGTTGTGACACTGTCATTTGCATGTTGTGATGACTAATATTCCCAAACTATGTGTGTTATTTAGGGTCCCCCTGGTCCAGTAGGAGAAAAGGGCCCACCAGGACCCCAGGTGCAGTATATACCATTTCTCCAAGAAAATATAAGATCTTGACCTTACTAGTTCAGTGGAGTTTATTCCTTATAAAGCAGTGCTGAAATATAAAGTGCTTCATTTATTTCCTTCAACTGTAAACCATGGGTTACATCTCTGCAGGGCCGTCAAGGAGATCCCGGGCATCAGGGAACAGATGGGCCATGTGTAAGCACACAATCAGCTCTTTCATTTACATTATATCTCTATTTGGCTGATCATTTCTAAACACTTATTTGTTCTAAATAATTGTCTACTATAGGGTCCTCCAGGACTTCAGGGGGTCAGTGGGGTCATTGGAAAACCAGGACCCCGTGGAAGTATAGGACCCCCAGGGGACCCTGGGCCAAACGGGCCCCCAGGTATTCCAGTAAGTGATTCTTCCTACTATACTTGATGAAAAGCTTCACTACATGAAGGACATTGAAGAACGTCAAGTTAAAATTGCTGCAAATCTTTCTTCAGGGTCCGCAGGGGGCAAATGGACTGCCAGGTATAGATGGGGAGAAAGGAGAAAAGGTGATTGAAGTGATTTATGAGATTTAGAGAATCACAAATTGTGCTTCCTTATGAAATCACTGAAAGTTTCTATAATTGCACAGGGAATGATGGGCCCTTCTGGTGATGACGGGCCTCTCGGACTGGAAGGGCCACAGGTTAGATTGACATGGAGCTGCAAAACTATTTGGTCTTGGATCAGTACAGCATAACAAACTAAAGCAATTAGAGGCCATGCATTACAGAGATTTTACCATGGTTATGTGATATTTTAATGAACCAGAATAAAATTACTATTACATACAACATTGTTATAGAGAAGAAATTTAAGAAATTGGTGGCAACAGAGATGTGATGAAAGCTCTCTGACCTCTGCAGGGTCCATCTGGTCCGTCAGGTTTGGAGGGGCCTCCTGGAAGGAAAGGTGATAAGGTATGGTGAAATAATTATAAAATTATATTTGCTTGACACAGTAACATTTATACAGGATTTTTTACCTTTTACATTTTTTTTTTATTAATACAATGTCATTTTTGTACTGGCAGGGGGACAGAGGTCCCTTTGGAAAACCTGGTCTTCAAGGACCTAAAGGAGACATTGGCCCTCCAGGTGCTAAAGGTCTAATGGATACACCAGGCCCAACAGGCAGTGAGGTGTGCAGATCAATTTCTTAATGTCGTGCAATTTGACTGTGCAATTTAACCCTAAAGTCATATGTCTCCAATGCAATAAGTCTCACTGTCACTGTAAGAGCAATATTGGTGTATTTCTTCTAATGAAGGGCGATGCTGGTCCAGTTGGAGTTGCTGGTGATCCCGGCCCTAAAGGAGAAAAGGTCATTTATCTTTTACAGCTTGTGTCATTTCACAAGGGAAAATGCTATTGTACTATATTTCATTTTTTTTCCTCAGGGTGATATAGGCCTGCGAGGATTTACTGGTTTAGAGGGACCATGGGGAGAAGTGGGGGAGCAGGGAGAGAGGGGGCTCAAAGGAGACAAGGGGCAAATTGGACTGCAGGTAAGTGCAAATCAGCATTTCACTATGTATTTTTTTATGTAACATTTTGTTTTTATCATTTGATATGCACTACTGTTCAAAGGTTTGAGTTCAGAAACAATGCGTTAAGTTTATCAAAAGTGATAAAGTGGTAAAAATGTAAAGACATTTTATAATGTTACAAAAGTTTTTATTTAAAATAAATGCTATTCGTCAATGAATCCTGAAATGTATCACAGTTTCCACAAAAATATTAAGCAGCACAACTGTTTTTAACATATTACTGTTTTGGTGTATATTTGATAACGTAAATTCAGCCTTGGTGAGCATAAGAGACTTAAGAGCATAAAAGAAAGATCTTACCAACCCCGAAGTTTTCAATGGTAATGTAGGTATCTAATTTAAACACTAAAATACATAGTATCTTGTCAGTACTTGTTTGAATCAGCTTTATTGCATTTGTTTGTGATTGTCTGTGAACGTTGGCTGTTTTTATGTTAGGGTGAGTCAGGCCTCATGGGTGGTGTTGGACCTCCTGGCCTAAAAGGTGTAGAGGTGAGTGTTGACCTGAGAATGAATGACCCCTGTATTCATGCGTGATATGGCCGCATAGTTGAAGTTACTAATAAACAGTTCCTGTTTTCTTGTGTTTCAGGGTGGACCAGGCCATCCAGGATTGGTGGGGCCAGATGGACCTCCAGGAAGCAAGGTAGCATGTTTGATTGTTCACTTAGAGCATCTTTGGATTATTTATTTTTATGGTCTAAAATTAAGCTTCTCTTTTAGGGGGAGGTTGGGCCGAGTGGTTTTCCTGGTGAGCCAGGAGATACTGGACCTGAGGTTCTGATCCACTTGAAAACATATTACTGTATATGTGCATAACATGTAACGTCTTTTTTTACATTGGATTGAAAATCTTTGGATGTCAAAAGAATTGCTGAATTGTTGTGTTATTGTTGTTCTCAATATTCATATCTGTGCTTCAGGGAATTGCAGGTCCCAAAGGCGTGCGAGGTGATGCAGGAAAAGACGGGACACAGGTAAAGATAATTTCTTTGCATTCATATTCCTCCCCCAGATAATCTGTTCTTGATAGTTTATTCTTATGGGATTTCTTGGGGAAACCGGGAAACAACAAATTAATTTTTATCTCAAGAGTAACTCATTAATTTTCATATCTTGGCCAACAGGGAGGTGTTGGCTCAGTAGGTCCCCAAGGTCTTTTAGGCCCTAAAGGTCTCCCAGGGCCTGAAGGGGAGAAAGGAGACTCAGGAGATAAAGGAGAACTAGGGGTGGAGGTGAGTTTGTAATGAACTCCACTAAGATGGAAGCTCTTGATTGCTTCCTTAAATTGCCTGTAAATCCACTACATGTTCAAATTGAAGGCATTTCTTTTCTTTAGGGGCCAGACGGCCTTCAAGGCATTCAAGGATCACCGGGACTGCCTGGTTTAGAGGTACAGACCATTAAAACCCAGAATATTGCATTTGTTCAACAAGATGGTGTGGCGTTTTGGGCTTGTCTGTGTATATAAATATAGTACATGTGATTGAATAACCCAATTATATCAATTCAAATCTACTCTGTTAGGGTCTACAAGGTGAGGCAGGGGTACATGGCTCACCAGGTCTGCCAGGAGCTCAGGTCAGTGCCCAGTGAGATTAAATATTTACAGCAAAGGCACAACAAATTTATTTTTTTTGTTGGTGGTTTATACCTAAAGGGTAAAAGAGGCAAGGCAGGGTTGAGGGGGACCAGAGGACCAAGAGGAGAAAAGGTCAGAGTCCAGAGATGAGGTCAACGATGACAACATGGCATTTAAATACATGATGAGTTTCATTTTTGAATTTCATGGCTTGAATTAGACATACAGTATTATGGATTTCCTTATTGGCTTCTCCTTGTCCAATAGGGAGAGAGGGGAGATGTAGGAGAGAAAGGACTTCCTGGATGGGGAGGAAGTATGGTAAGCTTGATACGCTTGATATGCCTGGTCAGAACAATAAATATCAAAGTTATCACATATTTTGAATTAAATAACATTGTGGGAATTAAAGGGGTCATATGATGTTGCTAAAAAGAACATTATTTTGTGTATTTGGTGTAATGAAATGTGTTTATGCAGTTTAAGGTTAAAAAAAAACATTATTTTCCACATACTGTACATTATTGTTTCTCTTCTATGCCCCGCCTTTCTGAAACGTGTCGATTTTTACAAAGCTCATCGGTCAGAAAA